AAGTGTTTATGGCTTTGAATTTGTTGTTTGAGTTTAGTTGAGATTTTAGTATTTTTATTATTCTTTGGTTTAATGTTTTCTTTATTTCTTCTTTAACTTCTGTCATTTTAGATTTATGCATTTGCTTAATTCCTAAATACTTATATATATCTCCATTTTCTAGTGCCTTTATATATCCGTTATCAGTTTCGTATTGATTTCTTTCAGAATAGACTCCTTTTTTCAGTTTCATTATAGCACATTTATCTAATCCGAATTCCATATTTATATCATTGGAGAAAGTTTCTGTTGTTTTTAGCATTGCATTTAAATCAGATTCTTTTTCGGCGTATAGTTTTAAGTCGTCCATATATAGTAGATGTGTTAGATTATATTTTGTATCACTTGATTTTAGATTTACGCCTTTTAGCTTTTTAAGTAGTGATGACAGTGGGTTTATAGCTAAGCAGAACCACAGAGGACTGAGTGAATCTCCTTGAAATATTCCTCTATTTATTTTGATTTCTGTACTTATTTTTGTTCCATTATTTGTATTGACACACAATTTAGTATTCCATTTTTTCATCATATTTTCTAATGTGTTTATCAGTGTGTTGTCAATTTTATATAGTTTTAACACTCTTAATAACCATTTATGAGGGACTGAATCGAATGCTTTCTTATAGTCTATGTATGCCATTTCAAGATTTCTATGTTTTTGACGAGCTCTTATTGTTATGATATTGTCTATTGTTAATTGCTCTTTACAACCCATTGAGTGTTTTATACAGCCTTTTTGTTCTTCAGCTATTATGTTGTTGTTACTTAAATGATTATATATTTTTGTTGATATTATGGATGTTAGGATTTTATACATTGTTGTTAGGCAAGTGATTGGTCTATATTTGCTGGGATCTGATGTATTTTCTGTTTTTGGGAGTAGATATGTTATTCCGGAAGTGAGGAAGTCATCGGTTTGTCCTGTTTGTATTATTTTATTCATTGCTATTGCCATTGGTTGATGAACTGTTGTAAAGTGTTTATACCAGAAGTTTTGTATTTTGTCTTGTCCTGGGCTTTTCCAGTTGTGGGATTTATTGAGGGCTTCGGTTAAGTCATCTTTAATTATATTTACTGAAGTCATATGTGGTATTTTTTTATTTTCATCTTCAATATCATTTATCCAATTAGATTCTTTATATTCCTTTGGGTTACTCCAGATTTCTTTCCAGTAGTTTTCTATTTCATCTATTTGTGGTGTATTGTTATTATTGCTTGAATTTATTTTATTTTGATTTCTATAGAACATTTTTTCGTTATTATAGAACATTGTATTTTGTTTTCGTCTTTCGCTTTGTATTTTATATCTTCTAATTCTTTGTGATAGTGCTTGAACTGTTTGTTTTAATGTGTCGTTGTAATTTCGGATTATGGATTCAAATTCAGGTTTTCCAGGTTTTGTCTGTAATGATCGGTATATATCTTTTAATGATTGGTTAAGTCTTTTTGATTTGATTCCATTTAACACTTGCGTTATTCTTCCAATTATTTTTCTTTTCCCTTCTATCCGTGTATCTATTCGCTTTTGCCATTTAGGTATTACATTTTCTTGATTTGGTTTTGTTGTAGACATGTGTTCTATTTTGTAGCCTAAGAGTCTCGATACTGCTACTGCTGCACAATACGTTATTGTATTAATTGCGCTCAACGACATATTTTCTTCGATGTAATCTTTAAGTATATCATTTATCGTTATTATAGTAGATCTTGTTTTAATGCCACTTCTTATTTTTGGTAATTTAGGTCTGAATTCTATTTCAAAGTCTTTATATTGTTCTAAAGATGTTTTTAGTTCATTTTCTGCTGTTATTCTTTTTATTTCATCATTTGTATTGTTTATGTTATCTGTTGTTGTAGGTGTCTCTTCTATTTCTGGCACTACTTCTACTGTGGTATTTAATTCAGTTGTTTCATTTAATGATAGTTCATGTGCCACTTGTTGTTTGATTTCTTGTAATTCAATCGGGGATATTTTATTATTCTTTGCTAAGAATCGCCGTTGGTCTGCAATTCTTTGTTCCGTTACATTTAGTTCTGGATATTTTTGTTTGAATGCTAAGTATATTTGGTTTCTGTAATCAGTCATATTTGTTTCGAGTCGAGTTGATCTGTAGTATTCGCGCATTATCAAGGTATTCATCTCATGTGTCCATCTCATGCGCTTTTGCGATTTGTCAACCAAATTGGTCAGTTGTTGCTGAGAACCAGCTTGAACTGAAACATTTTGGAGGTTAGTCTGATTTTGTTGACTAGTCTGCGGTCGCATTACATCACAGCTTTGCCCGCATAGCACATCACTGCGTGGGATATGATGCATACTTAACGAACAGCAGTCAATGCCTACCTGCTGAACGCGGGATTTATTTGAGAGGGTACCTCCCGAACACCCCCCGTTATTCCTACGACTACGTGTAATCATATTTATATATTTTGTGGCCTTTTTACGGGGTCCCGGTCCCTAGAGAAAGCTCAACACTAACATGTGTCTATTGCCACCCATTTCTCACCACTAACATGTGTTTGTTGAAATAGGATTTTTATTTTTATTTTTTTGAAACAAAAGTGGCCATTGCGTGTGAGGACGAGTAACTACTCGAAGGGTGAAGGGACATCCTTGCGGACGTCCCTTCGGGGTGGGGGCACCTTTTTACAGGCACCCCCGGGTGGGAGCACCCTTGCGGGTACCCCCAGGTGGGCACCGATACCGAAGTACCGATACCCGGGTCGGGCAGAAACTCGTCCTCACTTAGCACCCCGCTTTCCCCATACTACTTAAGTTGGCCGTCCTAAACAGCGTTGGTTGGGCAGGGACGGGAAGCACAGTTAAAACAATTTTTTTTTTCTCAGAAAAATTGCTTTCCACATCAGGGCTCGAACTCACGATCTTACTCTCCATTACTCTACTAGCCCTACACACTAACCACTACACCACTGTGCCTCCTCTTATTATTATTATTATTATTATTATTATTATTATTATTATTATTATTATTATTATTATTATTATTATTATTATTAGTATTTATAATTGTATTTTTTTCACAAACATTATGTTTCCCATAACAACGATTTAATTATTATTAAAAATTAGATAATTATTTAAAGTAAAATAAATGAAATTTATAAAAAATATTAGTTTTTTCGATATAAATCTATATATAATGTAATTATTGATGAAATAATGATAAGATTATTGATTTAAACATTTTTTTTAATTAATAAAATTGATCCAATTAAATAAAAATTTAATTTATTTTTTTGAAATAAATATTAATATAAGATTTAATATAAACATTAAATTATATGTGTTTTATAATAATTTTAATTAATGTTTTAAAGTTTATTTTCTAAATAAATTTAATTAAAAAGAAAATGTCACAGCAGTTTTATTTTTTTAATTTGTAATTTGAACTAGATATAATTTGTAATTATATTAAGCAATAGTTATTATTTTATATATATACTGTATTTTTATAATGATAATTAAATTTTTGTAAATATTTTTTAATTTAAACAATTACTGTTCAATAATATAACTTATAACTGTAATTTATTAATTTAAAAAATTATAAAACAAATTTACTATATTAAACATGTATGTGTGTGTATGTGTGTGTATGTGTGTGTATGTGTGTGTATGTGTGTGTATGTGTGTGTATGTGTGTGTATGTGTGTGTATGTGTGTGTGTATGTGTGTGTGTATGTGTGTGTATGTGTGTGTGTGTATGTGTATGTGTGTGTGTATGTGTATGTGTGTGTATGTGTGTATGTGTATGTGTATGTGTATGTGTATGTGTATGTGTATGTGTATGTGTATGTGTATGTGTATGTGTATGTGTATGTGTATGTGTATGTGTATGTGTATGTGTATGTGTATGTGTATGTGTATGTGTATGTGTATGTGTATGTGTATGTGTATGTGTATGTGTATGTGTATGTGTATGTGTATGTGTATGTGTATGTGTATGTGTATGTGTATGTGTGTGTGTATGTGTGTGTGTGTGTGTGTGTGTGTSTGTGTGTGTGTSTGTGTGTGTATGTGTATGTGTATGTGTATGTGTATGTGTATGTGTGTGTATGTGTGTGTATGTGTGTGTATGTGTATGTGTGTGTGTGTGTGTGTGTGTATGTGTGTGTATGTGTGTGTATGTGTGTGTATGTGTGTATATGTTTGTGTATGTGTGTGTATGTGTGTGTGTATGTGTGTGTGTATGTGTGTGTGTGTGTGTGTATGTGTGTGTGTGTGTGTATGTTTGTGTATGTGTGTGTATGTGTGTGTATGTGTGTGTATGTATGTGTGTGTATGTATGTGTGTGTATGTGTGTGTATGTGTATGTGTATGTGTATGTGTATGTGTATGTGTATGTGTATGTGTATGTGTATGTGTATGTGTATGTGTATGTGTATGTGTATGTGTATGTGTATGTGTATGTGTATGTGTATGTGTATGTGTATGTGTATGTGTATGTGTATGTGTATGTGTATGTGTATGTGTATGTGTATGTGTATGTGTATGTGTATGTGTATGTGTATGTGTATGTGTATGTGTATGTGTATGTGTATGTGTATGTGTATGTGTATGTGTGTGTGTATGTGTGTGTGTATGTGTGTGTATGTGTGTGTATGTGTGTATATGTTTGTGTATGTGTGTGTATGTGTGTGTATACGTGTGCATATGTGTGTATGTGTGTGTATGTTTGTATGTGTATATATGTGTGTATGTGTGTATGTATTTATGTGTAGATGTGTGTGTGTGTGTGTGTGTAACTGTCTTGATACATTTATCAGTACTATTCAATAAAGGGTTTTATTTATTTAATAAAAAAATTAATTAATTAATTTTTACAAAATCATTGTTTTAAGTTAGTTAATAGATAAAATAGATAACATATCTTATTAAAATACTACAATTTTTTGAATTATTAATAAAATAATATAATTAACAATTAAAAAACAACAACATAAACTTATTAATTAATTAATTAATTAATTAATTATTCAAATTCATCCAAAATAGGTGACAACATTTTTCTCAGTTGAATACAATTTCATTGAATGTAACGAAACATTTGTCGGCAATCTCTCGGAAACGGCTTTCCATATGTAGACCACTATGTTCTCAACAGTCGACGATATATTACTGTCCTTAAAGTACGGGATATCTCTATCGATAAACTTATGATCAAACGGTTTCAATATAGTTTCGTCCATTATTTGATTGATATCATAGGTATTCATTAGGAAACCAGTGATGGGATCTACTGTTCCCTTAACAGTCAACTCTACTCTATAGTGGTGTCCGTGAATTGTATTACATTTGCCGAATGTCTCACAATTTGTTTGCCGATCGAGTAGTTCGCTATTCAGACGGTGTGCCGAATCAAACATCTCGATACGGGTCAGGTATACAACCGGTTTGTTTGTGTTGTTGTTGTTGTTTACCGACATATTCTGTTATATTTAAGTAAAAACAAAAATAAATAAATTAAAATTTTAAAAAACATCAATTTTTAAACAAAACAAAAAACCATTAATTATAATTAAATTTTCTAACTTTACTAACACTTTATAATTATAATGTTAACTAAAAAAAAAAATTAATAATAAAATAATTTTTTAAAAAAAATAATAGGTTCTACTAACCAGTTAGTTAAACTACTGGTTACTGATTAGTATCAGTTATTTAACCATTAATACTGTTTATATATATAGAGAAATATATATTTTTAAAAATATCTAAAATGACACATTTAAAAAATTTTCCAGAACATTACAATTACAAAATCATTTAAAAAAAAAAAATTATTTTTAGCTAAATAATAATATAATGACTTTTATGTTTTTTAAAAAAATAAAATAAAACTATTAAGTTAATATTTTAAGTTGTTATTAACAATTAATGAAAATAATACTAATATTATATTGAAGTCAATTAAACTAAATAATTGATTTTTATTTGAATTTTTTTTTTAAATTATAAAATGCTATCATTTGTTTTATATATAACATTATTTTAATATTAAATTTTAGTTACATATATTAATATTTAATATTAATATTATCAATTTTTTTTAACATTTTGCTGTAATTTATAAAATATTATATTTATAGATATATATTAATTATGATCTTTTTAAATTTATTCAATTATATAATAAGGCAATATATTTAATATATTTTGTATAAATTAAATTTTTAAAATAATAATAAAAATTGTTGATATGCAATCTATATAATTGAAAAATAAAATATTGCAAAAATTGTATTTTATAAATTATTTTATATTAAGATTTTTTTTTATGACAACAACAAGTATTTAAATCACATAAATTGATTGAAAAATAATAATAATTTATATTATTAAACTTATATTTTTATTTTAAAAAAATAACATTTTTAAATTATACATATTATTAAATGTCAAATATTTTTATTAAATTAACTTAATTATGTTTGAATGTTACCATGATAAATTTGCTATTTTTACAAATATTGCTATATAATAATTTTCTTTAAAAACTACTTTATTAAATTATTAATTTAAATAAATATATTTATATGAAAATTAAAAAAATATATATATTAAAAATGTTAAAATTTTACTAAATTTTATATTTATTGATTTATTTTATATTAAAAATTAATACATCATGCAATATATTAAAATTTTTGTTTTTATTTGCTATAAAAATTAATAATAATTAATTTTACATTGTTTTAATAAATTTTTATAATATTTATTATACTAAATTTAATTTACTTTTTTATTATAATAATTTAATTAAAAAAATAATAATTATATTTATATTTTAATTTTTTAGTTAATACGGTATTATAATATATATATTAAATTATTACATGTATTAATTAATACTAATTAATTCTAGTATGCAGATTTTTTAATAATAGTATATATATATATATAAATTTAAATATATTTTTAACAATACATTTATTATTATATTTTATTTCATGTTGTTAATTATAATAATGGTATAATATATTTTTTTAATACAATAGAAATATAAATATATATTTATAACCAAAACTATATATAAATTGTTTTTTTTATTTATATAAATGATAAATATTACCATATTTTGAAATACCTTGTCGAAATCTATTATTATTATTATTAATATTATTATGATGATGATGAAAATTCAATTTAATTATTTTTGGTTGTACATTTAATATTATATTTGATTGATTTTTATTAAAAATTCTATCTAATTTATTTCTAATATAACCAATTACATCGATAACATAAAGCATATTATAACCAAACCATAGACCAAATAAACTAGCTAATAGACCCAAATATTCTTCCATGGTCATTTTATTATTGATTTCAATTAATATGCTTGGTGATTGTGATTGTCTAATAAAAAATCGATAATTTCTACGTAATTGCTCATAGACAATTTGTTTTTTATCTAGATGAAAATATTCTCTATAGCAAACAATACGTTTCCGGCAATGACCTAGACAATAATTTTCATATCTAGTATAATCAATTAGTACCCAATTTTGTATTTTTAGCTTGCTACTTAAATTATAAGTAAACTGTTGGGTAAACCTATTATTAGGTATTGAATAAGTTTTATCGACTAATTTTGCCATTGAATTAATTTCATTATCCAATCTATACTCGCGTTCAATACATTGTTCAACGCAATCATCTTTATCGTTACTATTATATAAACATCTACCGGTGCCACCACCACCAGTAGTTAACTGTGCATAATTTATGATAACTGTACGCTGATAAATATATTCCCAATAGTTATTTATCCATGAAAATTTTTCCGGATGCCATCTATTCAACAGTTTTGAACGATCATGTACCATTAGTCTATATAATGGTAATTGATTGTAATTTACAATTTCAGCATGTAAAACATCGATTATAATATATGAATTTTGATTTTCGATAGTTAATTTGTTTTGAATTAATTGGTCACCATGATTATTATTATTTAAATTTGAAAACAATGTTACGCATAACCATTGCGTATCAATGGCTAGCGTATAGTTAACCCATTGACTACAATTGCTTTCACGTTGATTACCAATTGCATAATGAACATGACATTTTAACCACCAATCAATTGGTTTAAATGATTTAGCTTGCTCATTAATTGTCAACTTATGTAGTATATTATATAAAACATTGAAATCATGTTTTGTTAAATTTTCCGATTTGTTTAACTTTTTCAATAGAAATTGTTTGTTTTGAAATAAATATTTAAAATTACAGACAGTTATACCGGGAACTGATAGACTGTATTCCGTTTCATATCTAACATTAGTTACGGTTTGATAACTAAAATATAGTTCACTTAATCTAAATGATTGATACATACAACCCATCAAACATAGGAAATAGTAAACAATTTTTAATAATAATTTATAGTTTTTCATAATTAAATTAAAAATATAATTAAAATAGTTTAACTTCAGTATTTGTAATAAATATTATTTAACTTCCTATTCTAACTATTTATGATATAATACATAATTTTTATTAAATATTACTGTATTATAGTATACTATAAACAGGAAAAATAATTTTTCATTTAGTTAAAATTGTTTTATCGATTTATAATTTATAAAATTAATATTATTATTAGTTTTAAAAATTTAAAAAAATAATAATTTTTTAGTATGTTATGTCATTATTATTATTTCTATGTATTATAAAGTATAATCTAAAGTATAGTATAATATCATTAATAAATAAAAATATTTTATTAGGAATAATTTTACAAAATTTTTTTTTATAAATATTAAAATTTTTAAGTAATTTTTATACTATTATATTATAAATTTAATAAATATTTAGTACTTAACATATATATATGATATATGAAATATTTTTAAAAGAGTACTTTAAGTAAATCAAAAATTTATAATATATATATATTTATAATTTATAATACTATAATATATATGACATAAATATAATTTTTTTTTATAATTAAATTGTTTTGTAAGTAGTTTTTTAAAAATTATTTTTAAATAATTTTTAAATAATTTCTAATACTTTAGGCACGGGGTGTCATATCGGGCGCCGACTGACAATCTGATGATAATTTGACTGATAATCGAAAATAATTGTTATGTTAATTATAATATTAGTATTACTGCCACCAAACAGGGCTGTGTCATCAATCTGGGCGATCGATAGTCAGGATCAGGATCAGGATTTATAGTGCACATCATATATTATGTATGGTACACTTTTTTGGAGACCCTGTCCCTTTATTTTTTTTTGTATTATTACCCATAGCATGCGTATAGCACTCATAAGCATAGTTAGATGAATACCTATAAAACAGTAAGTCAGCTTATGGTAAGGGAACGATTCTTTGTACCTAAAACTAGCTGTTACTTAATATTTGAAATGGCAATAAACAACAGTGGCTCACCAGGGAATCGATCCCCGGACGTCGTACCTCTATGTTGTTTATCAGGCAACAAGTACAAACAGCCGACGTCTTAGCTCACTACGCCATTGAGCCACTGACGATCCATAGTCAACACACACACACACACACATCGTAATGATAGTCCATAAGATYTTTTAAAAAATAATAAATTAAAAAAGACACAGTGTTAATGTTTTACCATGGTAATTATTATTGTTGATTAATTGAAATGTTTAATAATTTACATATATTTTCAACTAAAAAATTATTATAAAAATTTAGAATATAATAAACTAAGTGATTATGAAATAAATAACAATTTTTTTAAAAAAAGTTTTAAATCTATTMATTTTKTCTAATATTAAAAAAAATATTAATAATATAAATGGTTTTTATTTTCTTATTTATTGTTTGATATAATTATGAAATATTTAATATATATATATCTAAAAATTTAAAATATCAAAATACTAATAACTTTATATAAAAAAATTTATTGTATTTTTTGAAAATTTGACTTAAGTTTTTACAAATATTTTTATARTAATAAAATATGTTTAAAAYAAAATTATTATTGAAAATATCATATTATTTRATATGTTTGTTGGGTTGTATTTATCAAACMTATMGATTAAGTGAAATATATTTAAACTACGAAACTRTAACTAATATTCAATACAAATCCGGAAACAAGTCTATCGTTACCCGGAATAACCGTTTGTTTGGAAAAATCAATATTATTGGATAAAAATTTTTATATTAATTTAGTGAATAAAACTAAAAATTTTAATCSTAATGATTTCGATAAAATCAATTTAGAAATAAATAATTTAGCCATAAATGAGCAAGCTAAATTATTGTTGCCTATTATCAACCAATGGTTTCAATGWATGATATATATATATATTTAGTATACCTAATGTAGTATACGATTGTAGCCAATTAGCTAACTATACTATTGGTATTAGTCTAACTAAATTGTGTCTGACTATTTTCTATAGTACACAACGTAAACAAATTGATCATAATAAATTAATTGAACAATWTGAATTTGGTGTAACATTATTAGCTATTAAAAATCTAGTAAATGATAATTATGACATTGATAATACTAATTTAATTAGTCAATCACCAACACAAATTAATTTACATTATAATGGAAAACTTACTACTAATATAGATAATGATAATTTTATAATTATTGATCAAAACTATTATTTAATATTTCGACGTACAATTGTTAGAAATAATTTTA